TCGTCTGATCTAATCTGGCTAGCGATTGAAGGTGATGTTGACCATGGCGTTCCCACTCGTGATCTGGTGTTGATGTATGACCGAGAGCCTTTAGCTAGGTGAGTCCATTAAAACTAATGTGGTCAGCATCCAATGTTGAAAACTTAGAGAGCTACTTATTTTGGGGATTTACTGTTGCATTATTATCAAAACGATTGGTTTGTGACATCCGACTTGAATAATGAGCCGTAATTAAACAAAATGTTCTGTTCTACAGACAGGCAGATCGAAGTTACCCCCCACCATCATGTTTGCTTTTCAGTAGCGCCACCCTACCTCCTTTTGTGATGTTAGGCTTTCTTACGTTTGTGGTGTGTATGAATATTACTTTTATCTAAGCTCCTTTTTGCAATAAGCTGTTTCTACTAGTCCCATGTTACAAGTAAATCCGATGGTCGAAGCATCTGTATTGTGGGTTAGATATCCATTTAGTATATCACACTGCTTTGAAGATAAATAATGTATAAGTAATAAAACAGGTCAGATTACGTAGTTTAGAGACGGTAAAGATAAATAGCAAATCAAAGAATTCGCGAGAGTTTAGAATTGTATAATTTTTGGAGTGAGAAAACAAAACATTTAGCGGCTCACGAGAACCTAGGATATTATGAGCTTCTTATGATCGACCGTAGTTGATCAACATCGATAAGATTAATGAGTTATCTGTCTGCTTGTGATAGAAAAAAAGGACATGATATTCAGGGAGAATAATGAGATTTTAACCATTAGAAAGATTCGGTATCTTAATTTGGGGAGCAGAAGCATAAGGGCATAACCAATAAACAATGAATAATGGGAGAAGGTAAACCATGTGTTCTATCATTTAGTTATATTCATTTAATGACGATTAGGATCCGTTATATTCATGATCGGTCTAGATACTAGGCAGTCCGTAAAAAAGTGCCTCATTGTTGGGCGGAATTTCAGCGCATAGTTGATGAAGCTCTTTAGTGTCAAGTTATGGTGCAATCAGTCTTTTGAATCTGGTGATAGCGTCACAGTTACGGATCGGTATTGTCAACCTACTCCATAATAAACTATGGCGCACTGTAAAAAACTCACTACTCATTGGTTTTCGGTGTTTTACTGTGAGCAGTGTATATGAGTTGTTTCTCAGTTTGTAGATCGGGTCATGGATAAGATAAGATTCATACATTTGAATAGATCATAGAAAAAAGAGCAGATCACCACAACGATCACGATCCAAGTCACAGAGCAGGTCAAAAACGCTCGAACAGTGTGGATAGTTTTGTTGGCATCACTGGACGTCTGGTGTCAAATCAACAAGATACAAACGAAGATGCACCTGACGTAGACAGATTTCGAAGAATACAGGAAACGAACAACCCATTCAAAAGTCAGGGCGACCGAGGAAAAGTACCTAAACTTTCACTTGTTTTATGTTGAAGACAGAAATTCAGGCCTGTATTTCTTGATGAATACCGGTGCGGCACTTAGTATCATTCCTCGGAATATAACTGTACTAGGTCGAAAAACTTCTCCAGTTACACTTCAAGCTGCCAAGAAAACCGAACTCGCTACGTTGAGGCTGAAAATGTTGACACTAAGTTTAGGATTTAGAAAATAATTCCCCTGGGTTTTCACCGTAGCCGATTTATATCTGACAATAAGCCTAAATTACTGCCTTTGATATTTCAGAAAGGTTTATAATTGTGTTTACTAAAAGTCAGTTACATTTGTCACCTGGCGAACACTATCGATAGGCATAGAGTAATGTGTTAACGTTGTAGTCTTTAACTGACCGGTTTTACATTTACCGCGTTACTTCTTGATGCAAATAGCACTAGGCTTCGCCTAATATGATTCTCGATCACTAGTTGCTTGTTGCAACGCAACTAAAGGAAGAGCGCCCACTTCTGCACATAACGTCCGAGCTTCACTAACTTTTTTCATATTCTTATGTACGTTAATTTGTTCCTCTGTTGCTACGAACGATGAGTCTCGTGGCCTCCCTCCAAGTTTGAGGTATGCATGAATAAAGTTTTACTCACATCTGCATACTTTCATACAAAGCAACCACGTAAGTGAGTATCCATGGAGTGAAAACTTTTCAACAATTACATCGCTAACATGGAAGAACATCAAACGTACATTTAGTAACAACATAAAATTGCTTTCAACAGTTGCTACGATTTCCCTCACTTTGTTGATTAGTTTAATGGATATTTGTCATCTGCATTTGTAAGGTTCTTGTTTCAACCACTGGTTGAAAATTTAAAGCCACGTTTCGATTTAACCCAACTGAAAGAATTCGATAAAGCAATCGCTGCTAAAAATAACGTACAGGCCCACTGTGTGTTAGGTCTAGTTGATGCAATGGTTCTACCATTAGCCTTATGTAGGAAACACCAAAACAATGCAGAGTACAAAGAGATAATCAGTAGTTGATGTGATCCGTGAACAAGAATGTTTTAAGTTATTCAGCTTTTCCAAATCCACGTACACTATAAAATCAAGGCAGCACACAGTCGGGCAAACTACTTAGCACTATTCACATATAGAATGCCCGCCACCACTCGAGCCCTTAAAGATCGCGTGTGCTAAAGTGCGATGGTTTTGAACAGGGAGTGACTTTTAACTTACCCTTGCAAAAAAGAAACATTAATTTGTTTTTGAATATTATGTTTGCTATTTGCTATAGGAAGATTTTTCCTCATATGTACTTGCAGTTTCATCCCTTCCATTTCTTGTTATTTCCTGATTCGTTTTAAATTTTGTCTCTGTTGAATTTTGATCCTTTTGACTGCCAAACTGATTCACCACTCTTTGATATTTGTTGATTTGAGTTTCTATAAAAGCTTATTAATTTTGACAAGTGATTAACATTTAAGATCCCCAACGTTGTTTATTTATTATCTTATGATTTTAATAATTCACCTTAGGGTGAGCTAAGCCGAACTGTTCATAAGGACAAAAGTGTACTCCTTTAAACAAGCAACTCGTTTGTAGTTTTAATATATTCTGTAATTATTATTTTTTTATAGCCTGACTGTAACAGATTTCGGGGATGCAAATTGATCATACGATTTATTTCTCAAGGCATATTATTTGATACATACTGTTTATAAGACTATTACCACACAATCTTACTAAATTACTGTTCTTGCCATTTTAATCAGTGCATGATACGAAGTAGTTGAGTCACACATATTATGGTTCTAAAATATGATATTGAAAGAAATAACAAAACATGAACTCAACTGTAAAATTTGGTTGGGAGTTTACTTCAGAAATTAGGAACATATGATTCTGTGTTCCTTTTATAACGACAAAATGTTTGCAGGATGAACATATTAAAGATGAAAAGGCGAAGAACAAATAAACAGATGTTTCTTTGTATCGCAAATAGTACTCTGATAATTCATCTAATCTGTCTATTATTGTGAGTCTGCACGTTCACTTAACTTATATTAAACAAAATTTTAACAATCCCTGTCTAACCAGTTGGCATGACAGAAAGTGGGTATTAATTATAGTGTTTTTTCATATATGAACCCCGTTGTTCAATTATACAAAGTTTGAATAGTTTGATGACTTAATAGTCCGTTCGACTTCGTAAATGGTAAAAGCCATGACAGATTCGTTTAGGCCTCAAAATCAACTTCTAGTTAAAGAATATAAAAGGGCAAACAACTTACCAAAAACACCAGAAAATAAATACCAAACCCTCAGAATCTGAGTGGTTGTGCAAGACCAATCCTGATAACAGGTCAGGTTGTATTGTGTTAAGAACCTGAATGGTAAGAAAAAGATCTGAGATAGGTTGCCTTCAGTACCACTAAAACCAAAGTAAACAGTCTAACAAAGAAAGTTTCCATTCATGTCCTACAACTAAGTGACGTCCTCTTATGTTTACTTGAGTATTGGAATGTACTAATGATGAAAGAGACTGTATAACAAAACTCGGTTTTCAGAGTGTTCGTATAGAAACTCATCACGAGTGTGAACTGACAGTTAACATATTGTAAAGTTACTCATTTGAAAACAACAAAACAGTTGGTTTTTGAGTTTTTAAATTTTGCACACAAAAATGGGGAATTTCAACACCGACTTGGTCATTAACCTTAAAATTTAATTTCGTACAAATAGGAACTTAACCATTTTTATAAGCTAAAAATCTTAGTGTCCTGACAAAATATATTTTAAATCAACCAACCAGAAATTAAAGCAATTACAAGGAAGTGAGTAAAAGACTAACAGAGCTTGATGTATATGTGTGAAAAGCGTAGCACAACAGTTTCATTTGTTTTCTTACACACAGAAAAGAGAATAATATATGTTAGTAAATAATAATACAAAAGACTTATTACTCCATAAGGTAAATGCAAAAATAAACATATACAAAATCTGACAGTGAAAATATTAAGTTGAATACTATTTATTTTCCGGAGAATGGACATGACCGATTTGTTTCAAAAACCACAATCCACACAGTAGATTGATGAAAAAGTACAATCATATTATGGAGTTAAAAATTTAAGTGGATGAAAGTCATGCTATTAAACAAGTTTACAAGTACGATTTATGTCTTCCATAGAAGTAAACCACAAAAATAAGGAATAAAGAATATAGAAAGTCAGGAGCATATCCAAAAAGGTCACATATACACAGTTGTTTATATATAAACAGAAGATAAATGAAAACATAAATTACACATATTACAATTAACCATCCACCCAAAAAATTAAATCACGAATAAAACGGATCACAAGTGTAATATTATCATTGAATGTCATAGAAGAAAATACTATTAGAACATAGATAAATGAATGTATTAGCACTTGGGTTAAAACTGGATAATAGTAATTCCTAATGGGAAATGAGAGTATCACATACACAGTGAAATGGTTCATAACGAAGTATCACCTTTAACACACGGTGACATGAACCACCTCATGAAAGATGAAAAATTGTAGTAGTAAACCTCATTAGATGATACTTTAAGATAATTCTATCACAGGTGGCCAAGTTACATGAAAAGAGCTTTTGGATTCATTGAATTTCGAATAGTATTTAGAATCTGTTGAGTTAGGTGATAGAGTGAGCATTAAATCTCTTTCGATGTCATCAAAAAGCTGAAGTTCTGTTATGAGTAGATCATCGTTTCGACCACAAATTTGATGTTTGGATGATGTTGGATTTCCGAATAAATAAGACCAAAATGAATGTCCAGGACCACAGTCTTCCAACTCACTTGCTTCCCCAAGAAGTCTCGAACGCTGAACTGAAAGTTAATGAAAGGCAACACAAAATAACTAATATCATATAATAAACTCGAATACTAACATTTGTTATACAAAAGAAATAACTTTTGGATATGATATATTATGTTAAACTAGTTGAATATCATAGACAGACGGTAAGAATAAAATAATAAAAAAATTGTACAACATCAAATATGAACTTTGTGATAATCGGGAAACAAAAATAAAATGCGTAACTTACACGCAGAAGATCAAAATAATTCGATTTGTATGGCAGAATGACAAATTTACTTACTAATCTCCTAAATTTCATAAAACGTATGGCATTAAAGTAAAAAACGATTTCAGTATATACCAATTCGTAATCTATGTAACAAATGTTATAATCTAAAGTGTTTGAATGCTCTATATTTGACTCCAGTTGGATTGTTTCTGATTGCCATTGAGATATAAATGTCGCCAATCCTCGTACATAATTATCGACTTAATCCGAGTTAGTAAATAACGGGATTAAATAAGTCAAATACGATAATGGATTTTTGAAGACATACATTTTGTACACTTATTGATCTGGAGAGATAATCCGAAGCACGAAGTGAAGGAAGCGGAGAGAAGTGAAATGATGTGCACTGGAGAAGGAGTGTGAGCCAACTCAATTTAATCAAGCATTAATAGATATTTATAGTCAGATAAAAATAAGACATGTGATGAGTAAGATAAGAAATGCACAAATACGCTCATATAAAAATAGTCAAGGTTGATAGGCGAATAATTAACAAGGTCAAAAGGTGACTCAAGATGAATGAGTAAATCGGCTAGTCCAGAAGCTAGAGCAAGCTGTGACTTTAAAATCGTAACCGACACAACAAGTGTCTCGTAGCTTACTTGAATTATGACGTGAATATTGAGCATAAAAAAGGTCAGATCATATGGGAACAGTATGTATTATCAGGTAAAAAATCAATGAAATTTAGTATTTAACTGAACAGACATCAACAAACAGCAGCCAAAATGTCAAGTGATGGTTAAATAAATTTTAGTATTTAAAGAAAAAAAACATGCATACAGGATGGAAAGGATTTTGCCACGAATTGGTAAAGTACATGCAAAACAAAGAAAATGAAACGAATATGGTAATGAGGCAAGAGTACAATCAATGATGTTTGAAGAAGGCAGTTTTTAATAAGACTATATATTACAGAATATGTTAGGACGGCTCTCGAGAAGACTGATGGAGCCTCTAGAGTCCCTAAAGGAGCCTAAGAGTTTCCACCCAATCAGAACCTGATGGGACTTTCTAGAATATTAACGTGGCATGCTACGATTGGACAGTAGTGCAACTTTTCTCCTTGGGGATTGGCTGAATTATAATGATGTTATAGCCAATACTAATAATTATAAATACACGCATTTTTCTGTACATTTTTGGTTTTTACGCAACAATCACTTATTCTGCCTTCTGATTTGTGATTGTGGGGATTTTATATGTTTGAGTACCGTTAGTTGTATATTATATTCTGCGCTAATCAAGTAGTGAACGTAACGGAATGCACAGCAATTAATAGGTAGAATCAGGCCGATATAAAATGAGGGAACCTTTAAAAAGATATGACTTTAACAAACTCTTTTGATAGAAAAGGTAGTGATATGATCAATGTAAAATAAGTAATGATATCATTTTACAATACACCATAGTGGAAAAAAATACACTACAAGTCATAAATTTTTAAGGCTAGCGTTATTGTTACTAGTTTACGAAAAACAAGCACTGAAAGTATGACTACACTATGCGTTTTCGAATTAAAAATACATGGAATACAGATGTTTTTATTTTGGTTTAGAAGTGATCTCTACTTTTTTAAGGCACTCAGTTACATTATCGCAAATAACGAAGTATGACCTATGTAAGTCCCTCTATAAAACCAGTTAAGACGATAAACACTAGTGGATAATCCAACCACTGACAACTTATCTTTGATATTTCGAGTTAGGATTCAGTTAGCTTAAAAATTAAGGAACAATCTAGGAGCTTTGAAAGACTGTATTCAGTTGACGAGTTAAAAATCCCCAACTACGTTACAAAACAGCAGCAAAAACTATATGCATAGGATTCCCGAACAGGTTATCACTAGTTTATTTTCATCACCTTTGTTATATACAAAGCATTTCTAAATCTAGGTATTTTTCACTTAATTAATGTTCACTTATATAATCTTGTCAGTAGTTAAGTGAACAAACTAAGAATATTCATTCAATGAATTCTTGAAGTGAAATTAGAAATTGGATAGTATTGGCACATAGATATAGGTAACCCACTTAGCAACTAAATATAGTATCACAGTAGTCCGAATCTCCTTTTAACCTTATCAACCGGAACAACTAGAAGTGATTTGATTTCTTAAAAGATTGTGATGCGAGAAACAGTTACAAACTATAAGCACACTTTTATGCAAGTCTACTTTTATCTAATTAGGTAAAAACCTAGTAGGCAAATGTGTCGTTTTTAATCCCACTAATTATTAACTTTTCGACAAATCTTCTGTCTAAACGCTTGAATCAGTTACCTAAGCTCTTCTATAACCCCAGGTTAAATTTAAACGAAAAATTAAAACAGAGAGAAAGAGCGAAACGTGGAAAAAGCGCCTTACTCTAAGGTTAACTTATGTACAGAAAATAGAGTATTTATGGCATTTCGGATGACCTTGGGATTCTAGAACCATAGTAATCCTACGATCAGAAGTGTGACATTTGAATCTCCACTTTCCAGATGTTCCTGAGAAACGTCCACTTAACGCTGATTAGACAAAATGTTTTTCAGTTTTCAGGGCCTCTATGAACATTTTAAGGAATTATTTGGGTCTTCTCACATTTCTTCCACAAAATAAAACTTCAGCTTGGGGTTTACATCACGTTCATACATGCATATATATATATATATATATATATATATATATATATATGGATAAAAGTCAACAAATTCACTCTACGATTTACTTGGTAAGTCAATCCGCGTAATACAGCAACTGATCAGATCATTATATTAACTCATTCAAAATACACAACATATACAATTCTCACTTCCTACAAACAGTGTACGTTTGAGTTTCTGAATATATTTTATGAAACATATCGCTTCTCATATCGAATTGTCAAATGAATCTAGTTATACGATGAAATCAATCCAAATAATATGCGAAATTAATAGGTACCAGGATTTATAATCATTAGAATTAGACAGGGTTTACAAGTACAAAATTACACAAGAGTAGTTATAAAAGACATCTACAAGAAGCTGACTTCAAATGAATAAATCTTAACTAGAATAGAAATGAATGGGAACTAACCATGAAATTTCTGAGTAGCTGAAGAATGTAGAGGGAACTGACTGACTAATTTTGATGTTTGTTCTTGTGGTGAATCATGCGCCACAAACTGGGTGTCATATGACTTCTTTACACCAAAATTATTGGAAGAACCATGTTTATACTCACTAAACTGGGGTTGTTTTGAGAACGAGTAACCAATCTAGAATTAGAAAATTATGAAAAGACCAACAGGCTACTTACATATATAAACATACAGTTATTATACTAATTATAACTTACCATCAAGTTCATGTTGTTTTGATGAATGTATGTGCTGACCGTGCACAGAAAACATTAACAATCATTAAGAATGCACAATGGATTGAAGAGTATTATAAGATCAATCAAATATACAGAAAATGTCCAAAGTATATTTACCAATTTACTTAAATTCATCTTACACTATGTACTAGTTTGAAAATAATATCCAAAGAATATCTAATTCATGTAAGTAATACTTACAATCATCAATATAAATGGAAATGATTTCCTTTATCATCTATCGCTGATGCAAAAATTTCGGGATTTAATAAATGAAATGCACTTATATAAATATGGTTACACAAAGTCTTTATAAAAAAAAGAACACTAAATCATCCGAAGTTGATGTATTACCTGGGATAATGAACCAGATACTAGACGCTGTGGAACTTGTGATACCCAGAAATTGAAGGAACTTTGAGGACTCAAAGTAAAGCTCAGACCAGTGTTCAGTGCGTTTTGATTGCCATTTCCCGAAGGTTGCCCAATCCATAAGGCAGCAAAACATAAAGCAAAGACCATTAAACAAGTGGAAGGTGAACCATTACTATGAGTAATTCGAGTTACAGAATCAACAGAACCATTGCCATTCGCAGTCAAATGGTTTGTTTGATTTCCAGTTTTGATTGAATCAGTGGAGCATGTCGAAGTTGGGGTGTTACTGGATTTAGATTTACTGACAAGTTGCTGTAATAGACGCAACTGACCTAGCAAAGAACGATTTGTACTTTCTAAGCCATCCACACGACGTTTCAAATCAATATTCTCTTGTGAATAAATACTGACTCTAAATAATAAAAATATACATAACCACAATTACGAGAACAAAAGATATTCGATACGATGATGAAATAGTAATTAGTGAATTTTTAAAATGAGTACAAGCTAATAAACGTTAGGTAAAATGATCAGGGTACTCACTAAAGAACTTTATAAACTATTGTTTTGACTGCTTGCTGTCAACCATGTACTTTGAATAAAAGCTTGAAATTATACTAATTTTCGAAGGGATCATATAAGCCATTAGATTGCATGAATCGATGAACAGACAGTAGGTTTATAAAACTTAAAGAAATCACTGGGAGATAAGCGCTTTATTCAGTGAATGAACGGACGATAATTCATTCTCTTACAATACCCATATATTAAACTTTTCTCGAAAAAAAAACGATTGAGAGAACAGAAAGTGACTAATAATTAAAGAATGAATTAAATAGTTGGTTTTAGGATACAATAATCAATTAAAAAGCCATACTGTCACTGAGAGAACCGAACTGCTACTGAGTCAGAAAATTAATAAGTCTTTGTATCTCAAACAAGAAGCCGTAAAAAGATAGAGAGAGAACTCCAGATTAAACTCAACTTTTAATTAAAATATCCAGTCTGGTTAATACATTATTGATTGCTATGGATAATAACAAATGTAAAAAGAAAAAATGAAAGAACAGTACTCGAGTTACAAAAACTCAGTTATTGATTAGTGTAAATTAAACAGTTAACTTAATTAGGCCAAAGAATATGGTTAATAGTCGATTAATATGTAGAGTAATAACAATAATAAAAAGAAAAAAATGTGACAAATGATGAATGAAATAGACGATGAAGTAATTATGATCTTGGCTACAAAGCAAAGAGTTCCAGTAAAAGTTAATTAACAACATGCTAAATAAGATAAAATGCACTTGCTAAACTAAACGTGATTTTTAGAAGCATATAAACGAGTATGTAAAGAATAATAATAATCACTTAACCTAAGAATGTACAATAATATATTGGTATATAGAATGAATCGACTATCCATAGTAATAATCTTAGACCTTATTTTATTTCCAATTAAACCGATAATAAGACTACACATATCTATTGTCCAAAAATTACTTCTAGTTGGACAATGTATATTGATTAAACACAAAAGGAATAAAAATAAAAAGAACAATAAGACATAAACAACTAACACACAGGAATTGAGAATTGAATCTAAATTATTTGAAGGTACAAATACACCTTTACCTTTCCGTATGCATATATATATATCCTAATAATTAGGGTGTTATGTATGTTGCTGAAATAAAAGGTCAGATCGATACAAGAGAGCATACAAAAGACCACTTAAAAATGTCAAGGGCGATCTCAGGATACGATATCACGTAGACATAAATAAATGAACATCAACACAGGCGTACAAATGTTCAATCAGCTAAACTTCTCAATACCAGACAGAAATATATAATTTATAATCCCGTTTATTTTCAATAACGGGGATTTCTAAGAAAAACAATATTATGTATAATGACACAATTCTTGTACATTGATAGATGAAAACTGGAAATAATTATCATGTTATTATCATATGCTTTCGAATGAAAGGTTAAACATTAGGTTCATAGTACAGACTAGCAGGAAAATAAATTGACATTTTCTTCTCAGTGAAGCGGTCGACACGCTCAACTACTTCTACGGTTGGGTCATTTTCTCCTACTTAGTGGGAGTGGCGTGGTGGTTGTGCAAACTGAAAACTTAATATCATTTATGCACTTTCGGGTTGGAACTTTGATTTATTTAGTTTTGAACAACTGGTAGTTCAAAGCCAATGGTACAAATTCATACTTGACAGATGAGTTACATGATAAAACGGGGCCCTGATGTTTTGAGAAGATTGCACACTGAGTTTGTGAAACAGTATCCTGAAAACCGTATTATACAGCTGTGTTTCTTAATGTTTGCACTTTGATGTTGAGAAGGTACATTTTATAGAATTCAACTATATTATGTTAAGTATTACGTTAATAATCATAATTATCAGATATTGATGGAACATAAGTGGACTGACAAAATAAACGGGTTTACTTTTTGTCAAACAATTTTGTTTGTTGTTTAATGATTTTTAAACACAAATGGTACATTAGGAAATAATATGGCTGACATTTATTGCACGGTCATTGTGATTCCTGGACCCTAGTGCTGAAATTGTTCTAAGTGTGATTAAATAAATCTAGAAATAGATGATTGGTTAACTTGTTTTGAAAATGTGTGCTGTGTTGAGGAACATTGTTGCGAATGGAACGCTACCAGATACAACGTAGTTAAGAACACGTTATCGGTGCCCGTGACAACGTTCGAAACAATACAGTTAGTACTTTGTAAGTTATTTATGCTCATCGTTTGGAGAAAAGGTAATCAGTCGAAGAATACTTACGTCTTATATCACTTTTCAGATATCAGTAACTAATAATTACCGTTTAGAAACTAATCACTTCATTGGACAAAATAAGATGAAAAATTTTTATTGAAAATGTTAGTGGGACATAGACTAGATTAAAGCATGCTCAATGCATGATTGCTTTGGTGCACGCTGATTGGCTAATTATTATACAATCAGCACTAGCCGATAGTTGGAGAACACTCTGGAATCTTCTTATGTAAAAACTATAAATATACTGACGTTTTCCCTATTGTGCTTCTGACTTGCTATTTGGAATATAATCTCTTTCCTGTTCAACCGTGTTCTGATTTGGGGACTTGTCGAGTGAATCGGTGTCCGAGAATACTAAGCAATAGGAATAGCTGGGTCATAACCGTAAGAAGAAAAGAGCGATTATAACAGAAAAATTACAAAACTAACCGTGCGATGGGCAAATATTATCCTATCATTTTAAATTAATCTGAGTTCATGAACATACATGATTGTGATGACGCAGTCAGTTGTTGTCATTCACAACGTAAAACTTGGCACATATATGCATCAATTAAAATTCCCATACCCAATCATCACAGTGAGATACTAAAGTAGCACGAGTAGGAGTGATATTAGAAATAGTAGAAAAAATTAGACACGAAAGATATGATTCGAAGAGAAAGATTCGTCGAATCGAAAGCTTTACAAAAACGATTCAGAAGCTTAGAATACTAGGAAAGACAAAGTATGAATGCGCTTGTGTCATTGCGAGTAATTCTAAGCTATGTCACTCAAGGTCTCCAAGCATTGTTTACGGTGATCGCGGAGATCCCAGCCACGTAGTCTGAGCCAACATACACGGATCAGTCCAATTATCTATGACTTCATGGGTTGTCGTAAATTTATTTGAGCATCTGTGGCTTTCATCTAGCGCTTTCTTGAAGATAAGTAATGAATATCCCAAGCACATTAATTGATGAAGTTTAGTAACCACCAATCAACTTGGCATACTTGCCTAGTAACTTGTGTTTTACCACACCAATGAGATGAAGGCATTTGGTATGAAATGGTAATAAAATACGAGTATTCTTTATTTTTAAAGGACACAAACTAAAACAGAGCGAATCGTTGTGCAGTATATTAGTCCTTTGGTTGACATACGGACATATTTATTAAGCCACGATAGATGAAAGTTGGCAAAAGCCAATTACGAGCTTTAATTATGCATTGAATCATTATAGAGGTTAATAACATAGAAACCATATTAGTCAAACTGATGCCTCTGTGGTTGTCACGAAAGCACTTCTTTCCTTTCTTATTAACTCGAACGATCAGCAACGGCAACTAGTTAGATAGGGTCACGTTCAGTCCTCAGACTAATTTTTGGTGCTTTCAGTCTTACTGATCACCAGCTGACCTCAGCATGGTAGGACTAGAAATAGTTTTCTTAGCCAATCTATCTTGACTGGGTCATTAATATAGGTGAACTCAATCATCACGTTGAAGTAGCAAGCCACAGTCAGGAGTTTTATAATATTTATGAAACTATGATGACAATGCACAAATTCGAAAGAAAACTCAACTATTCACAATTATGAAATATGTTTATTTAAGAAATCTAGTTATACTGACAACTAATTTTCCTAGTTTACAATTTGCGTAAACAACTACTACTTTAAAACTGTGTATAATGCATCCTTACTTAAGGGCATTTCAGTCATCTAACCTAACAGTAATGTATGCAAAATAGCGTTTCTACTCCTCCAAAAATAATGTACAAAGCTTACCTATCATTTACAAAAAATAAACATGTTTATTGGAGAGAAAATGATTCAAAAAAACCTTGTGAAGATGAGAGGTCAGTTTTTAAGGAATGTATAAGATATCATTGATAGAAACCATAGTTTATGATGTTATTCAGCGTGCAGAAAATTCAATCAATAAAGTAATGATCAGTAAACATAACAACCTTTTATGAATGACATGCAGCTAAAAGGCATAAATTAATTAAACACTGTTCTTGGATTTTTTTTAACGATAAAAATTCATTCAATATGTTGACATTATTATGGAATGTGAAACATAAATAACTAGAGCAGAAACAAGCAAAATTTATTTAGAAATTCACTGACAAAGAGAGAAAGTTAGTGATCACATAATCAAAACCCATATATACGAGCTGAAGTGACCATCTGATGGAAAAGTGGCATAATATTTGTTAAAAGTATGTAAAGACGCCTTTGACATAGTTACCCCAGTTTGTAGTCGGTGATTGAGTATGCAAACTTACTACTGATTTACAATGTGAATGTCAGATATTATTCAAATGATAAAGTGGTTGTAAGTGACAAGGATTAAAATGATTATTAACGTGAAAATAAGATACGTATTTAGATGTTTTGAAAAATGTTTGGATACCGACTCGTTTGTATTGTCGTATCTGTTTTGATCATTTTATTATCATAGGTAATTTCTGTTTCCTGTTCAGAAACATAATCATATAATTCAATCCAATATTCTTTAGAATGTGTACAGAAACCTTCAAGAAGCTCTTATTTTAAGTAATCTCTCTATCGATATCATTTTACAACTGAAATAAAGATACACTTTGTTTACTGTTTACGTAAATAAATACCACTTATTCTAAAAGTAATATATGTTTGCTCATGTATAAAGTATGAAGTTTCTCAAACTTGAGGTTCACTTAATGCAAGTATACAAAGAAGAAGACAAACACTTATCGATCAATAGTTTTAAAACTTTTATAATATATTACTGTATACTGAAACAAAAACGTAGAATACACTTATATCAAAGAAAAGAATGTTGAACAGCAGGATTTATCTGTTGAGAATGCTAGATCCACAGAAATCACTTGATAAAGATCTTATTTTTGTAATTTTACTTTGGAAATTTAAATCTTTCGCTTTCGCGCTAAAAGTGCCCTCTTTTACCTTCAGATTGTATTTTCTACTTCAAAAGACCCTAAATATCATTGGTTCGTTCCCTTTTTTAATACGCTATTTTATGACGTTTCTCAAGGACGTTTTTATGATGTATATATACGCTTGAGTTGTGTGCTTGTTCGTTTGTGCTTCTGACTGCTTGGGGAATATGGTTTCTCTCATCTGAGCCTGAACTTCCCATATAGTTAGCGGGGCTGTGACGCATTGGGATAGTTTAGTTTGTCTTGTCGTTGATCCTTCGTTCCGTTCGCTAATTTAAGGTGATCTCTTCACGCATGGGATTAACTAAGAAAATAGCTACACAGCAATCCAGTTAACACCGGTAACTAAGACGGCTTAAATAGCAATTCATTTAGTGTATGACACAAACAGCTTAGTACAATAAAAACAATGTACCTCCTACATAGGTGTTAATGTTTAACTAATGTGACAGAAATCAATATATCATTATTATCAATGATTGATTTATTCTGCAATGTTTAGTTTTATGTAACTTTAAACAACTGATGATCATGCAAAGTGCATTTATAAATTTATATCGAAGAAAAAAATTAGTGAACTATGAGTACATTTTAATGCACTACTAAAAAATACCGGTAGTAATAAGTACCTCTCTACTCAATAAACATGTTCAGATTCAAAAATACTCTGTTTACTTAAAACTTAGAGAAATATAATACATATATGTATAGATATTTATAGAAGCCATTAACAACGTAGTAGATGTTATGAGTGTAGCATTCAAATCAATATTTCTAAATTGACGGGGAACAAATTACTTAAGCAGATATTCTGCTCTTTATACAGAGTGGGCAGTGGATTCATATAAATAATCTAACTACTTCTAACAATAAAAACATTGACAGAATTTATGAGTTGAAAGAAAATAAACAAATAGAATACCCTATAGATGTATACAATTTAGTTTTCATAGTGTGTTCGTTATGATGAGTAGAAAATTCTCTTTTACCACGTTCACTGCATAACTAACCACTTTTGTCTTAATTTCTGTAACGTCAGTGACACTATTTACGTATCCTATTAAGCAGACAATTTATGTTGAGCAACACAAGGAGTTTTCTTCGGTAAGGAAATCTGTATATAAATATGCATTAATGTAAGTACGTAGTATAACTATACATACATAAGCACAATTATTAATTCTGGGCGTATTATAAAACCAGATTGTCTACTATATGTTTAACAAAGAAAACAAATGAATTCAGGTAGGCCAATACAATATGCATATTCTATCAAAGAACAAATGAACACAAGTTTCAAATGCAAACACCATTAGTACACAAATAAATAAATAAAATCTTGTTTGTTTGCAATGACATTGAAATGTCAGTAATGAAAACTTGATAATAAAAAAATCAATGTTAACATTAGAATCTCCTAAAATGACAAGTAAAATTAGGTGATATCGAATAACAAGAATCATACTATTTTTATCATTAAGAAAAAAATTGAGCCAGTTGAACAAAGTAAGTTCTCTGTACAATGATATCACTTACTAAAGCTACTTCTACCCATAGATACTAACCAGACTGGGAAGTGAAAGTAATCCCATCTGACTAGTCTCGGACGCTGACAGTTTCAGTTTATAAGGAAAAGATCGTCATGTGATAACCACAGACGAATCAACCTGAATAATGTAGTGTCTAAAATATTAACTCCTGAATCCTCCTTGTCTCTTTTTTTCTCTTTCCAAATTTATTTCACTGGATTATACTCTTTAAATAACATCTTCGAACCCCAATCTTTCCGGTTACTGCTTATACTCTTACCGCCTCTACCACTACAGGATTTGAATCGACAACTGCATCTCTGTGCTAATATGGTGTGGCAACTCGAACTGATGTACGTACGTACGAAGTTCTACGTTGTTACTGACTGACTGACTGATGAAATTATTAAACCAATCAAGGTAGTTTATGAGTCAATGATAACAATGGAAAAGATTACATAATAAATGAAAAGTACAAATCGATAGTGTGAAGACAGGTGTACTAGTTTTGATGAGAATAATAAAGGCTTAAATCAATGTTACATAATCGGAAAAAGGTCAATGATTAGAAAAAATATAGACAGCGAGATAAAATTTATAAAAATTATAAGATTATGTAATAAGTGTTCAGATAATTAGACAATATTTTTCGCTTATATATGTCGATCTAAATTTACAATGAGAATTTTTCAAACTTTAAAAGCATAATAATTAGACGCTGTAGATTTAGTAGAGGTTAGAAACTGAATATTAAATCAAAGTTTCCTTAATATCTGAGAAAATTTATAGCTTATCAATTTACGAATGATCTTTTCATTTATCAACTAAAACGATATAATTAACACGGTTAACTACTTTTATATGCTTTTTGAAGTTTAGAATAATTGTTTAAAGTGACCATACCATCTCAGGTTTGAATGCAGCTAAATAAGTGTTATTAGGCTAATTTATTTGATAAAAAGTTCAAAGAATAAAGTGGGTAGTTTGGAAGGTGTTTCTTAATAAATTTTAATAGGCACTACCTAATAAACAGAAACCTTGCTGTACTTGTACGTAAAAATTTCTTTCCAGAACTCAAACGAAGTAGTTTGAATATGAAGATTTCAGTAATGCGAAGTACTGTTTTGTTAGTCCTGGGTATTTCAAGATATTGAAGATGAAATTCTGACCAGTAACAGAATGCTTTAAAAATACTATTGAAAATATTCGAATTGCAAATGAGATAAAAACTTAACAGTAACACTATAAGAGTAGTAAACTGGTAGATAATCAGTTTAATCAACAAACTGATTCTGCTAAATAACATTTAATGAGAACCTAAACTTTAGTGAAAAAGGTTTGAGAAACAAAATTGTTAAATATTTCTTTAAATTTTATTATTGAGAGTACAACAATAGACGATACAGTACTTTTTAATGAGAACAGCTTTCTGAATATATGTACAACTTGCATATGGTGCACAACAAATAAGTAAAATGTATACAAAAAAAGGAATAAGATATCTCATTTTGTTTAAAACACCGTGTTTTAAAAGGAAAAGCATACATAAGACAAGCACACTTTAAGTGACCTCAGTCAACATACTACTAAATAAAAAGTTCATTGTAAGACGAATACAATTAGCATACTTTCTTAAATATTCTATTGTATCAACAAGCTAGTAAATAATTATATTCATTTACAATTAATTGGAACAAAAAGGTCTTTATTTACAAATACTTCAACATAATTATTGTGAACAAGAAAATAATAAAATCATTAGTAACAAATATATATATATATATATATATATATATATATATATATATATATATATATAATAAACCGAGTACGCTTCTAGCCAAAAAAGGGTAGCCGGATGGAAAAAACGTGTATTCATGCTTTTACGGAGATATTCGGACAAAACTCTAGAATCTTCTCATGAAATGTCTTTGTAAAAAAAAATCATATTTTTATTTGAACTGTAACAGGAATGGATATATGTTCATAACATATAAAACATGAGTTTACTGATCCAATCGCTAAGTAAATTTACTATTGTTTTTTGCTTAGAATCTCCACACATGACTGATAAAAGTTTTTTACTTTAAACCTTAGATGTACTCTTTATAACGTGAAATCATTTGCTGTTGACACTAGTACATACAACCAATCGATCAATTAGTTACTTTTCCACATTAACCATAATCTAGGTTTTTATGTACACCAACCCTAAAGCTGGTTTCTTTAAAGTTAATTATGAAACATTACATTCGAGTGCAAATGTTAAATGATTTCATATTAACAAAGTGCCGAAATTTGTCATGAAACGTTGACTACTCACAGTAAAAAAGTGCATGGAAACAAAGATGGCAAATTATTTGATTCTTAACTTATATAAGAATGAAAGGAATATGTCCACTTTAACAGAGAATATAAAGTATACAATGTGATTTTCAAAATCACGAAAGCATGAGTTCCAAAGTAAACATGATGGAAATACAAGTGGTTATGAAATGGAAAAGTGTAAATATTTGCACAAATTTTATACCCAATTCTAGTAAATAAAGATTTATGATTAAGAAATAGTTGTTTTACAGGAAAAAAATGAAATACTACGCTGGTGACTTACTTCCTTTCTAGTGCCTCTAGATATTCTTTTTTCTTTCGGCGACTTTCTTGTGCACTTATTTTGTTTTTAATTTTTCGTCGAACCTTCTTAAGGTTTCGTTCATCTTGTTTAGACAAAGGTAAACGCGTTGGAATGGAATAACCCTCTGCAATTAAAGTCCGTTTCTCTTCCTCCGTGAGTACTAACATATGAGGATGATTGATCTAGAAAAATATCAAGATTACATTATTTATAAATAATGAGGACTAATCGATAATCTCACGAATTCACTATCTCCAATCATATTGTCTGTGTTCAGCCTTTTCTACTACTATCGATGATATTACTATCCCCACTATCAAGGCATTTGTTTTCCATAATTTTATCTCGCTAGGCTGATCTAGCATGGCAACTTGAACTGGAGCACATATCTGATAGGCTTTACCTTGCTTATGATTGACTGACTGAATTATTACGATTAAAATTAAGCTTAAATGCATAAAAATTTCCAGTAACTTAATCAAGAAACTAAATCGGATTTTATTAATGAACTATGGGTAATACTAGGTACTTGATAAGAAATTGCTTGGCGCATATATATTAGCGCTCTCTTGTACCAATATTTATGTGTTCAAATAATAAATAAGTAAATTTACAGAGAATTTAGCAAACAGCCTAGACATTAGTAAAATGGACATTATGGAAACTAAATAATAGTGGGATTTTATATCATAAACAACGCACGAATGTCTACCGGCTTAAGGTACTACATTTTCTGTTGACATAGTGAAATAAAAATAGAAATATGAAGATTAAGGTAAATTTAAACATGATGTTCAGAAGTGGTATAAAAAACGGCAAAGAAAATATGGTTAGGAAAGAGGAAGTGAAACAGAGAAGTGAAAAGTGTAGTGACACAACAGTTTAAGAATTAGGAGACAGAATGAATATATGTTTCCCAATCGAGTCGCGTGCCCTGCCACCTAAGGTCTTCAACCATTAACCGTAATCATCAGGTAAATCCTAGTCAGGGAGTAGTTTGGCTAATCAGCTTATTGATGGAAGCTGTTTTCGACTAACCGCCTTTGGACAAATTTCAGTCTAATCCTACGGAGGCTAGTGCTGCACGTCATGGTAGTAAGTATATTGGCGTATGTAACACAGTTTTAATCATCTTACTCAATGAAGCTTCATTATACTATCAACAAACTCTTCATTTTTGCCTAGATCGCCGTGCGTGACCCTATGATTACTAATTTGATGTTTCACCATTCGCAACTAATGCTTTGAAGACAATTATGTTTGAATACATGAGGTTCATGAATATCGTTTACTTACAAAATGTTTTTTTAGGGCTTAAGAGAATCACGACCAGATAATTAAAAGACTTTATTGAACATCATGAAGCAGAACGAATTGCAGGGTTCATTCTGATTAGAATGGACATACAAGTTTAGTACGGACTTCTGGATACACTTACACATAGTGAGTTGAAGATAAAATCGAGTTGTGTATGTGAATAACCTATGTACAATAAAATCCAGGGTGGCTAATAGGAGAATGGGCTATTTTAGTGGTGCAAAATTCATTATACTGTATGATGTGAAAGTAGATAGTTGTGACGTTTGGTCTATGAAATGTGGCATCCTAGCCGCCATACAACTCAATGGATTGAGATGCTAAACATGGCTATAAACTGATGCGCCAATGTACAGTTGCGAAATACTAACAGTCACTACGATGTTGGTCGAAAATCATAGAAAAAGATAGTTTTTAAAAGAACTGCTGCCTAAATATAAACAAATAGTTTCAGAACAGTTAGACTCCGAGTGTATGGAAGACGCCAAAGACAATCTGGTTTGAGCTTTTGGAAAATCAAAATTAACAAATACAAAAAGGATTCACCAAAAAATCGTGCAGGAAACGAATGTGTAATCATATTGAGGTGTTAAATTGTGAAGTCACCCCCAGATACTGATACGGCCGAGGGTGGGGAGAGTCCGTCCCCCCTCTCGATACGCTCTCACATGGCCACGCGTATATAGCCACTGCCAGGGAAGTCCTACTCACTACTTTCTCGCAGCAGGGTGTTGTTTACGAAATTGAAAGGACGTAAAGCGAATGTCCGGCACTTTAACCGGTTTGGTGGATATGGAGGGTCCACCCAGGGAAGTTGGAAAATCCTGATTCCAAACTAATGGTGCACATGGACTCCAGGATCCTGAGGGAACAACTGGCGTATGAACCTATTGTTGGTCATTGGAAACCATGGGACTGCATCTCCTAAAGTTGCTCCACTGTTTTGTGGATTAAACCTTCAGGTCAAAGACTCGGGTGTGGCCCCCTAAGAAGACCATCTGCTTTGGTCTTGGCACACGGGCGCTATCATAGCCCCCCACACAAACCAACGATAACTGCTACTGACCTCATTGTTATTGTATGGTGCATATGTATTTAGTGCCCCCTTGTACCAATGTTTATGTGTTAAAATAAACAATGTGAAGTTCCCAGGGCGAGCATGTATTATTTGATATGACATATGTTGAGATTGTAGCAAAAGAAACGCATTCGTTTATGTGAATCCGACATGTTGATCATATATGAGTATAGGTTGCGGTCGGAAACGAAGTTAGTCAGTCTGATCGATAATCACAAATCAAACGTTTTAGAGCATGTATCGAATGAGAACAGATAAACAAATGTGTTTATGAAAATCAATTGGTTATCTAAGGTTTAGCCAAACATAAGAACTTGTAAAAAAAGACCTACGCTGTTGCCACAAAACATGAGATGAAGAGTAGGTAGTAGTTTGGATTTATATTTAATTATTAATCAACAGTTGCTACGGTGCAATTAATCTTACTTAGTTTCTTTTAATTAGATTGTGTATCTATTCAGATATTTAGGCTTCGTTTATCAGTCATTCATTATACGAGCCAAAACCTGTTTTGTCTTGAAGCGAAGTTACTCGAGGTTCCAAGCCACTGAGCACGTTACAGTGGGAGTTACAATCAGGTGGCCACTAAAATGGTTTAGTTCGACAGTAAATTATTTCATGGACTTAAGTCTTGAATTAATTGCTATTAGCTTTCTTTTAGTTAATCTGAGGTCAACCAAAAATGCATACTGAGATAAGTGGTTGGATATATGTAATACATGTACTAGGCATCTCAGTTGATAAACATTCACCTCACCAACATGTCGCATCTTTACCTGATATCCAACGTTTAGTTGCTTTAATGTTACATCAGTTGCCCCACCGTACGCGAGTAATCCTTTAAAGATACCTATGATCAAATATTTAAAGCCTACTCATATACTCTACTTTAAGTACGAGTAATATGACGGACTGTTAAACCTATACCATAGGAGACGCAAGTTGATAAAAACCACCTGAGTTGTTTGAACCCGTCTGCCGACTTCGTTAGTTGTGAACCTACTAAGGGTGATGGAATTTTAAAAATAAGAAAAAATGGACAACACTCAGTTAATTCACTGTTCATGATAATTTTAGGCGTTGATATATTTAAATCCTGAAAGAAAATCCACTAGTGTGAAATTAACCTTTTAAATACCATAGGTAGCAACCTAGACGAAAAACATTTAGATCAGAGAATATATTGAGTATTACTGTAGACTATCTTTTATTTTATTTTATTTTATTTTATTTGAACACATAAATATTGGTACAAGAGAGCGCCAATATATATGCGCCACACAAAACAATGAAAATTCGAAGAGAAATAGAAAGAGAAAAAAAAACTAGGGAACGCAAAAGAAAAAGAGAACAATGACGAAGAGATTGGAGTAAGGTAGTGTGGTAGTAACGACGGAACGAAAAGGTACAATCAGAAGAAATCTTTCAGGTAAAGGAGACACAACCACTTTTTAGAAAGAAAGTAAAAGAAGGTTACAGCAGGATCGCCACTGGCTTCTATTCTGAGCCATATCTGATAACGTCTCTAGCCACTGTGTAGCACCATCTCTCGGACCCCAACCAGGGAGTCGTGAAGGACCAACACAAGCCAGTCCTTTGCAGCTTTCTTTCATGCCACGACACCATGTCATGCACTGACCACCTCTCCGCCTCTTCCAACCAGTCCCAGAGTCGGCAAATAATGCACGACGTGGAATTCTCTGGGACGACATTCGGAGAACATGTCCAAGCCACCGAAGTCGGTGTTTCAAGATGGTGACACCAATTGAGTTATCATCTCTGTGCCCGAACACACGATGCCGAACCTCTGCATTACTGACATGGTGTTGCCACTGAATGTCAGCAATCCTTCGGAGACAGCGATGATCGAACACAGAGAGTCGTCTAACGTCCTCAACTCGGAGAGGCCAGGTTTCACAAGCATAGAGCAAAACTGCTCTCACCGACGCGTTGTAGATCCGACCTTTTACAGCCAGACTAACATCACGAAGGCGCCAAAGGTGGCCCAGATTGGCATAAGCCGCTCTGGCTTTCACTATTCGTGCATTGATCTCATCACTCACACCCCCACCAGCACTTATGCAGCTACCCAGATACACGAACTTCTCAACTACGTCTATCTGCTCACCGTCCAGGGTGAGTACAGGATTAGAATCCTGCCAGTCTTGTAGAAGTACTTTGCACTTCGAAGGTGCAAAGCACATACCATACCTACGGACACTGATTGCCAACTGATTAAGTGCGGATTGCATGCCTTGGGCATTATCGCACAGTAAGACAATATCGTCCGCATACTCAAGGTCGAGAAGTCTTTCTCCAGGCAACAGATCCACACCACCATTACTTACATTCATCAGAGCTGTTTCCAGAATGTCATCGATGGCAAAGTTGAAGAGGAATGGTGAGATTGGGCAACCCTGCCTAACCCCACTGCTCGAATGGAACAATGGAGAGAGGTGGTTGTATGCCCTCACTCTGCCTGAGGTGTTTTTATACAGGGCTTTCAGGATGTTAATAAACTTCTCAGGCACACCCTTCTTCAATAGACAATCCCAGAGAACAGTCCTGTCCAACGAATCGAAGGCAGCCCTGATGTCAAGAAACACTACGATTGTTGGCCTTTGAAAAGTATGGCGGTGTTCTAACATTTGGCGGAGGGTGAAGATATGATCAATACATCCTCGACCAGAACGAAACCCAGCCTGCTCCTCGCGAGTCAATCTTTCTCGGGTTTTGAACAACCTACGAAGAATGACGGAAGCCAATAGCTTGGACGCAATCGGAAGTAAACTTATCCCCCGATAGTTGTTACAAGAACGACGTGAACCCTTTTTAAAGATAGGGACAACTATCGACTCATTCCATGACGTTGGTACACACTCTAGTTCCCAAACCTTTGTAAACAACGTCGTCAATTCCTTAGTCAAAAAGTCACCACCATCTTTAAAAAGAGCCGGAGGTAAGTCATCTGGGCCAGGTGATTTGTAACGCTTCAAGAGTTGGAGTTCCTTGCGGACTTCCTCCTCATTTGGTGGATCAGTCGTCACCGGCCATGGAGGGCAGGACAGTCTGACCGATGTTGCCGGAGCAGCAGGCCAGTTGAACTGCCCTTCGAAAAATTCTGCCCATCGTCCAAGACGTCGATGGATGTTAGTGATTGGCATCCCATCATCCTCGCAGATTGTTTCACTCACACCAGACTTCTTGCTGCCAGTGGCTCGGATGAGCTGGAAGAGCTTCCGGTAGTTACCAGATGCAGCTGCTGCTTCCAGCTCATTAGCACGCATCGACCACCAGGCTTCTCGGTCCTTACGCAAGCTTTGCCCAATTTCCTTACGTAACATCCTTCGTTTATGGTCAAACTCACGGTCACCCGGAGTAGACCGACGGGCTTCAATGAGTTGTAAGGAACCAGAAGAAACCCAGTGCTTAAAGGCGGGACGTTTCGCAAACCCACAACTGACTGTTCCCGCCATTTTCATGGCGTCATGCAATTGCAACCAATGCTCATCTATACTTTTCGGTGGAGTGGTAGCTAGCCTAGAGGCTAGCTCGGTTCGATACTTACTTGCAACAGAAGTTGCAACCAGCTTGCTAACATCAATCCGTTGATGGCGTTCACTTCGTTGTCCACTGAAAAGTAAGGCAAGATTGGCGCAGACCAAGGCATGGTCAGAGTCCAGATAGGTACTCCAAAAGGAGCGGCAGTCTTTTACACAACCACGCCAGCGGTAGCTGATCGCGATGTGATCAATCTGAGTCCAGGCTTGAGATGCAGAGGGAGGACGCCAGGTGGCACATCGGCGATGACTGTGCCGAAAGTTAGTGCTAGCCAGAAACAGGTTGTGGTCTGTGCAAAGTTGCAGTAGACGGTCCCCGTTATCTGACCTGCGACCAACGAGTCCCCATCGGCCACCTAAACGACTCTCTTCTGTGCCTAGACGCCCGACCTGAGCATTCAAGTCTCCGGCTAGTACTACAATATCTGTCGAACGCACTTTCTGGAGAAGAACTGATAACTGGTGGTAAAACTCATCCTTGATTGCATCCGGGCTGCAATCTGTCGGGGCATAGGCGGAGATGACGAAAAGACATCGTTTCTCACGCCGATTTCTTCTCACTTTGATGGAACTTTCTAATCTAACAGCACATAACCGACTGTTAATGGGGATCCAATCGACTAGTGCTGCCTCAGCTCTAGCGCTTAGTGCGACACCAACGCCAGCAAGACCAGACGAAGATGCCACAGGGTCCCCGGATAAGCGCACGTAAAACAAGCTTTTCGAAGCGACAGATGGAGATCGAATTTGTAGTACTTCGCCAGAGTCTTGAATACGGGTCTCGGATAGACAACACACGTCGATATTAAGACTTTCCAAAGACATAGCCAGCCCTATCTGTTGTCCGACCTGCATAAATGTGCGAACGTTGAAGGCAGCCAGTTTGAATGGTGCACGTGGTTTCAGAAAATCTGCTTCAGTCCTCGTATTCGGTGGTAACATACAATTTTCAACCGGACAGTGACTCGAGAACGTATAGAATTAAGGCCATATTGAAGCATTCCACACAGGATACGCATATGACAGTAAGAGACCGATTAATTGCAATCTTAAACGTCGATCGGAAGATTCAAATAACCAATACAAAATGAATTAAATGCCTTAATGCTTTTCGCTGAATAAAAGTCGCATAACGCGGACTTGGTAAGAGTATGGCATCAGTCAATAACTAATTATTGATCAGTAACACTTATAAGATTACTTTGTGCTGACCAACTTAAATCATGGGTTAAGCATAACCATAAGACGTTTTCTGACACATAAAATCAAATAATATAAAAGTAAATCACATCATATTAAACCATCTCAAATGCGATGAGTTAAGATTACGGTGATCTTAGCCAGATCATCATTGCAAGACTGAAAGCATAGGACAGCTGTTTCGTCTTAGCATGACTCTTCAGCAAACATTTAGCTACATTAGATTAATGAACTAAATTTAATAACTACATCTGCACTTACGTCAGACTGCCCAATCCGCGTGGTACCACGAATACGAGAATACATCTACAGTAATGAAATAATAGGAAAGATGAAGACTTAGAACGAGAAAATAATGGATACACAATTATGAAAGCCAACTCTTATTGGACATAGATGCTGAAGTCGAAACTACGAAAATGGTTGGTAGAAAATGCTTTCGAAAGCTAAATGGTCACAGATGTTTTTTTAACTTGATATGAATATTCAAATACCCAGTACATAACATTTATAGTAATGATAAGGACTGGTCTTAAGCTAATATAGACCACTCACAAAAGTCTAGCTGAAAATAAAACCGTCAACCACTAATTTATTACTAGGCATGTACAAAGCATATTGTGGTAAAAATCTAAATCCCAGTTGTATCCATGTATTATACATAATCCAAATTACTAGATATGTTAACAGTTGAATTTTCAGTTCGTGGAGAAAATATTGTTATAAGTATAATATAGTGAAGTATCATGAGAAAAATATTACAGAAATGTTTGTTTGTTTTGTTGTGTCCACTACCTAAAGCACTTGACAATCTCTTTTTGTGTATTTTTAAAAATGAACTACTGAGTGGAAAATAATTAGTATTCTCGAAAAGCAACTTAGGAAAGGCGAGAAAAACCTCGTGAACTAGTGTTTAGCTTTGAAACATTATGAGCTTTCACAGGAATATATGAAGCAATTACAGAGTTATCACAGCTAAGTAGATAAACTGAACCACCGCAAATACGGACTGGGTTTTGACTGTGAAAGTGACATCTTCATCTATGTAAACGCAAATATTGGTATAAATTGGCACCAAAATAAATGCGTTCCACAAAACAAGGAAATGAGATTGCGAAGAGATAGAGGATGGTAAACATAACCAAAACAAAAAAATATAAGTGCAGTTAAGAATAACACAACCAGAAAAAACCCTTCTGACTAGACAAGTTTCTTACATTTACGAATGTGAAAGAAAATTACTATAGGACCGCCACTGGCTTCTATTCTAAGTCAAATCTGACATCTGAAGTTATTGAGTTCCATTATTTCTTGGTCACCAACCAGAGGTTTGTGATGCATACTTATTTATTCTAACATATAAACATTGGTACAAGGGGGCACTAAATACATATGCACCATACAATAACAATGAGGTCAGTAGCAGTTATCGTTGGTTTGTGTGGGGGGCTATGATAGCGCCCGTGTGCCAAGACCAAAGCAGATGGTCTTCTTAGGGGGCCACACCCCGAGTCTTTGACCTGAAGGTTTAATCCACAAAACAGTGGAGCAACTTTAGGAGATGCAGTCCCATGGTTTCCAATGACCAACAATAGGTTCATACGCCAGTTGTTCCTCAGGATCCTGGAGTCCATGTGCACCATTAGTTGGAATCAGGTTTTCCAACTTCCCTGGGTGGACCCTCCATATCCACCAAACCGGTTAAAGTGCCGGACATTCGCTTTACGTCCTTTCAATTTCGTAAACAACACCCTGCCGCGAGAAAGTAGTGAGTAGGACTTCCCTGGCAGTGGCTATATACGCGTGGCCATGTGAGAGCGTATCGAGGGGGGGACGAACTCTCCCCACCCTCGGCCGTAGCAGGGAATTCAGGTGCTAGTCCTAAACAACTTTCATAACCCAACCGCGTCTTTGTTCTTCCCTATTAGTCTCGGCATCATCAAATATCTAATGTGGGGTCCTCTGAGCCAATATACATCAAATGTTCTAGTCATGAAAGCCGATGTTTTAAGTTGGTGACAACTGAATTGTCGTCAGTGTCCGACCTCCAGCACTGCTAATATGATGCTACTGAATGTCAGCAATCTTTCTGGGGACGATATTCGAGCAGATTTCTTTCGCATCCTTAACTAAGAGACCAGGTTCAAAAGCACAGACTGAAAGTGCTCTCACTGACGACTTGTCGACTTAACACCGAGTAATCGCCGTCAACTTCAATTCCCAGATTGTGACCTATTACAACGAAAATTTTGACGCGAATGTCAAGAACATCAGGGACTTAAGAGTTTCAAGATTTATGTCCTTAACAAATCAAACTGACATTCACATCCTACTCGACTTTTGAGACAATGTGGAAATACAACTTTGCCTACATCAGGATAAAAATTTTGATCTCGGAATTCCGCATTTCAAATGGCTGTATATTTCAACAAAGGACTTACTAAGGGACTGAAATAAGTTATGACAAATGTAGACCATTCACTTAGTCTATCAACGTTCAAATGCTGTTACCTACCCAACAACAAATAACTAACCTGATCATGGAAAAACCGCTGCTGTGTGATCTTCGTTGACTGTGAATAATCACTGGATGAACCATCATCGTAGAATGGAGTATCAATATCAGGCAGTCTAGAGAGGCCTTTACTGGTGCCAGCATTTTTAGAATGAGTGCTCAGGTTTTGATGACTGAGAAGCGACTTTTGAAACCGGTCTGATCGAGTGGACTTTGATTAAGATTTTCGTGATCAAAAAAAAGTTCTTGGCATGGCATGTCATCGTCGTAAACATCTCTACAATCCGACTCCGAACTGGATTGGGATCCGCATGGCGTTAAAGATCCTACAACACCATTTCGATCATATACTGGGTCTTCTTCAATTTTATTGACGTGCAATAATTTATATGAACCTTTAGAATCTGCAAAGAATAATAGATGAAAACTGGTATTCTGCAACATACTAGTCAGGTGTGAGTGCTCATTTAAGTAAGAGAGCTTTTCTGAAGATTTGTTTTCAAGGCTTATTTCATTTAAAGATACTGTTTTATGCGATGAATCTGAGGGTAACGGTCTCAATATGAAGTGGACACGATTGGGTTTATTATCGTCCAGCTTAAAAGAGGACTCCTGTAAAACTGCTCGGACAGTAGTGTTGTTTTGAGAAGGACTGATACGCGTCACATGGATTTTATGAGGTGAGTTAGTAGTAAAGGACTTTGTATCTGACGTTGGGACTATACGAATAGTTGTAGGGCGTGAAGACTCATTATTCGTGTGGATCACGTTTGGAGAACAGTTGTTCGAAGATTGCACACAAGATGCATAACCACTAGATTCGTCAGAATTGGCTGTATCATCTAAGAATGAGGAGACCAAGGAAGTAGATTCTCTTATTTCAATCTCATCGCCGACAAAGAAATCATCTACGACAGCTACGAAATAAGCACACCGTAAAACTTACTTTCCGTTTTCAGAATGTCACAGAGAGGAGCATCCAACTTAATTTTAATTTCTTCAGGAATATTTTCTAATATCAAATCATCATGAGTGACTTGCTGATCGTCTAGAGTTTCAAAGATGTCAGTCATCCAAGATTGGGTGGACTGGACAGAGTCCTACATCATCAACTTTAGAAACGGGTTAACTTACAAATTCATTTGTGCTGAAGTCCGTGAAAAAATCACCTAAAATCAGCTCCCCGGCCATGGTTTAGACAATACTTGAATGTGCTTCTGAGTTCTGAAGTAATCGAATGGAGCAATAAAACAATCATTCCAAATCTTTGAGTCTAGCTTTCCATCCACAATAAATTGAAATTTCATAAAATTTCGAGCATAAACTATTAAAATGTGGATAAAAGTATCGTTAGATTATTCCTACGTTAATGTTGTCTAACTAAATCCATCATACTAGATGAAACATTGGAGCTTCTCACTCCGATGAAGAAGTGATGACTCTCGCTCTTTATGTCCGACATAAGACGAAAAGAAAACCACAAGCACCGTTGGCCTCTGTTGGCCAAGGATGTGACTTTACTTTTGTTTCTCTACGTAAATGAGTTACCGCTATTGCTTAAGTCGTCGACATTATTGTTAGAGGACGATTTCAAAATCTGGGGAACAATAAGGAGTGAGACGGTCTTTTTTATCTCCAAGCTGGTTTAGGCTTATTAGTTAGACGGGCTGGAGGTTGGGGCTTACAAGTTAATTCTAGGAAGAGTGTGCTCATGCACATTGGACACGCAAATAGTCACGACTTGCAACGCATCTACTGCCTGAGATTACCGTGCGCTATGGTCACTTCGCAGAGCATTCAAATGCTTCAATTTTTATACCCCATCTATGTAAGGCCACACTTCGAGTATTGTGTCCAAGCAACTAGCTCATTTATGAATAAGGAGACTAACGTGTTTGGGTGTGTTCAGTGTGTGGGAACGAAGTTAGTGAGGAGTCATTCTAAACTCCTTTACGATGGGAGCTTAAAATGCCTAACCCTTTTCCCCTTGCCGTATCGTAGGACGCGAGGTGACCTTATGCTGGCATTTCATAACTTTAACTACGATTTGGGTGTTAGTATATCTTGTCTTTTCGCTCCCTTCAGCATTAATAATTCGCGTGGGCGTAGCAATAAGGTTAACAAACTTTAAGTGGGGTTTCGCTTTTCTCATCGAGTGGTCAGTGGCTGGAACGCCTTGTCCGAACAAGTGGTATCAGCCCCATCGGTTATTATTTTCAAGGAGATGCTGGACCTTGACTGGAAGGCACTGGAAGGATTAACACTGGTCCACCAAACTGCTATCCTTATTACTGAAGACTACTTTGATCGACTGACGCTTGTTATTGAAATATACATGTCACCAATCCTTTTATATGGTCATGGACTTAAATCGCGTTGTTAAATAACGGAATTAAATAATAATAATAATTCGACAATGGATTTTTGAATACGTATATCTCGTGCAATCGTTGACCCGGAGGCTAAGAATGACGAAATGATGCTCAATGAAGTAGGTGAGCGAGCAAACTCAATTTAATCGAGAGTTAGTCGATATTTATAGTCAGACCAAAAATAAGTTGTAAACATGTGACGAATAAGGTAAGAAATGCACTCACATACACTTATATAAAAACGATCAAGGTTGGTAACCCAATAAGTGATAGGATGAAATGTGGCTTGGGAAGAATGAATAGATTGATCTGTCCAGTTGCCAGAATAACCTATATGGGCTTGACATAGTGTCAGCCCCTACAAGCTCAGCTCTTACTCCTGACCAACAGGCTGAGATCCTAACTGTCGTTGCACATAACCCGTGTCCAAACTATTGTTACTTGTAATTGTAATAAGTCCTACACACGTCGGGACAGAGAACTAAAACCCATCGAATGTGCGTCTATTTAAACACTCCCGATGAGATGAGTTCAACCGTACAATGTAAAGAGGGTGAAACTCTAGGACAATAAAATTCGGACATTATAAATGAACGGATTCGTCCGAAAGTCAAAACCAGAAAGAATAATAAAAGCTACCATTGGTATCAAGAAAGAAGTGATAAGCCGATAGAAAGCCTTGGACATGATTTGCAAAGAAGTCACATCCGTCCCTGGTTTAATTATTTTAAATCTAGGGGAGTCAAGAGAAAATTAACTTATTAAAAGATATTCACACGATCTGGAGTTGGTAGAATCTGCCATCAGAAATGCACTCCATGAAGAGGTTTTAGAAGTGCATATTACCAAAGTATTAAGACGCAGTAAGTGGGTTCGAGGAAATAGTGAACCGAAAAGAATCTTAGAGTAAGTACTCTGAAGTTATGAGGAAAATTACGCCTTACCAAGTAATGCATACGAAACAAATGATTCACATATCCGTATCCGACCAGAATGGCCACTTAATCAAGTGTAAGAATGTTCTTACTAAGTTAAAAACTCGAAGGGAAAACGGACTCATGGTTTTTGGGTAATCAGGCTGGGAAGTTAATGGTTCTGTGACCTGTATGCGTAGAACCAGTTATTCTCAAAACGTATTAAACGTGTGCTGCTCAAACTTTCGTAGCGTCCGAGATAACCTTGGTGATGAATGGGTGAAATCCCGATATAACTGTTGTCATAGGAACGTAGCTCATTGTAGATGTAGACTGTTCTCCAGCCATTTGAGGATACATCTGTACTAAAAGTCGGATAGTTATGGATTGCGATCGGGAGGGGTTTGGTATCATATGTTACGGATCACTTTCATGTACAATCGAGCACGCCTAAGACGCACGATAGTGGTACGTGTGAGGTACCTCATAGTAAAATTAATCTAGACATGAGTTAGTGACTATCAGAGAAATATACTATAGCCCACGTAGTATTGCTGACGACGTTTCCTAAATTTATGTCTGTCCTTCGGTGAGACTGATTGTTGTCTCACAGTTGGAGATTTCAACGCGCTACATATCAACTAGATAGAGCGTACATCTTCAGGTAGATATTCAGACGGCAGCCTACTGACAACTGCTATTCAACACGCACTTGTACTATGTATTGAAAAATCAACACATCATGACTTGGAACATGGCCCATCAATGCAGAGTCTTGTCCCTGCCCTCCCCGCTGTGGTAATGTCACTGGCATTCATTGACTCCCTTCACTAGTGAACAGTGATCACGTTGTACTGTACGTTGTCTTGTTGACACAATATGCTGCAAGCACTTGCTCCACGCCGTCCCAGTATTTGGTGAGCTAACATACCGGCAAGGAGGTTAATACAGGAGTTCTTTCTGAACCACGTCACAGGTCAGTACAGAAAATGATTTTAAACAGTTTTGTAGTCAGGATGTTTAATGTCCTGAAAAAATAATAAGACAGAATATACTTTTTCACTCCCAGAAAATCGATGAAAAGACATACACACCAACAAAAATGGTGATGCCAATGCCCTGTTCTGTAGAGGATAGTCTAGTACTGTAATTTCTCAAAAACCTCTAGGTGATCAGAGCATTATTAGTCTTATTCGTTAGCATTCCACATTTGATAGCAGTGTGTGGGAAGAAGTTTCTATTATCATTATTATTATTATTATTACTATTATTATTATTATTCACAAACAGCTTATAGGTGCATACGTCTTGTGAAGAAACGTGAAATGGTTTCTTCAGAAATGCAATACAAAGGTTTCAATAATGTTAGCATAACATTTGCCATATTAGAAAAACAGGTTCTGTGTAATTGAGAAGAATAGTGAACTGACTGTAAAGAAGGAAAGCGAGAAATTGACGGAATAAAAATGAAGGAAACATGAAATACGTAAATACTTCAATAAGCATTTTTATCAACACAGAACAAGAATAAACGATTATTTATGTGTCGACAAATGAATAACAAAAATGATTAAAAATAAATAAACAAGAAAATAACTTATTATTGCAGTAAGATTCGACGGTAGAATAAGTGTTTGTAGAATAATAGTTAGGAGTGATGCTGTGAAAGTCACAATTAATTGCAAAGGGTAATCAAACACCAATATGCATGAGTCATATATACATGTTAAAGATGAATTTGAGAAGTTAATTTATCTAAGTGTTACACAAAATATTGTCTCACAAACTTTAGATACTTAAGAATTTATTTAGAAGAAAAAGATTGGGAGATAAGAGAACTGAATAACTAGTGACAGGGCACAACAGTGATAATAAAAATGTAATAAATATCGACCCCTGAAGTAAACCATTAATTTTTTAAACCTTTTAGTGTACTCGGGTGAATACATGTAAATTTATGTAATGCGATTCAGAGTAAAAATTGATATAAGTATAAACTTTTGTGCAATAAAAGTTTAGAATAATGCCACAAGTGTCACAATTAACTGCAAAAAATAATCAAATATCAATATGTATGAATCATCTAAACGTGTTTAAGATAAAATAAACATAAGAAGTTAATTTGTCGAAGTGCGAAAAATTATAAGTTGTCTTTAGTCATAGACTTTGGTTGCTTAGGAATAAAATATGTTTAGAGGAACAGAAGGGACAAAGGAATACCTAATGTGTCGACGGACCAATCATGATAATAACAATAATAGTAATAATCATAAACGTGATCATAAGCAGACTTCAGATACTAAGATGAATAGAAAGAGAACGAAATAAAATGAACGACAAAGGTTTCGAAGATTCTACTTTGCTCTTCAGTCATTTAGATGAATGACAGACCTCATTTGCATAAATCAATGTTAAACACATTGATATTCAATAGGTGACACAATCCAATTTAGGAAAGAAAATCATCAAGGAAACTTCTGAACCGGGTTATAGTTCCACAGCGACGGAGGTTCACTAGCAGTCTGTTTCACATAGTTTAGTAGCGAATAACGAAAAAAATCTGGTGTAGTTTTGTGTAGGTTCTCGGAAACTCTGGAATGCTGGACGATATCATAAAGTACGGAGCGTATGAAATGCTGTTTATAAGCCGGTAGATAAAGACAAGGTTTAATTTGATACGTCTGATCCAGAGAGGTTCTGACTTGAGTTATTGACATTTTTGGTGATAATCATTGTCGTCGGAATACACCAAAACAGCTTTAGTGAATATTCTTTGAACACACTCAAATTCAATCAGGCAATTGTACCCACAGTTACTGTAGACTAACACACCATGTTCAAGAATGGGCGAGATGCATTTTCTGTAGAATAAGCTCGATTCGATATTATTGATGTTTATCATTAT